GAAAGAATGTAATACCTGAGAACTAAACATATAATATATTGTATGGCTGCTAATCCTTGTTAGGTGTGTTTGGGTATAGGTTAGGAATCAATGACAGATTCATTCTTTTGTGTACATTACATATCTCGCCATCAGAGATGCCCTGCAAACTGCTTTCTGAGGTTACGCCTGTATTGCATTGTGTTGCCACGCTGCCATTTCCAGGCAAAGTGTCCTGTGCAGAAGTAGGAGGCTCAGAAGAGGGACAACCTGGGAGTGGGCATTTGAATTCCCTCTTCTGTACAATGACTCTTGAGGAAATTCTAGCAACTGACTGGTCTGTTAATCAGCTGGCATCTCTAAATTGTCACTTGTGTGGGAAGAGGGGTGCGCTCCTTCCCTGTTTCATTGCAAGGTCAAATGGGTTGGTGTGATCTGGTGAGAAGTGAATCTGGCTATTGCTGCTTCCCAGCTGACAAGTTCGCTTGACGAAACTTGAGGCAAGTGTGAGGGCTGGCAAAGGAGGACAGACGTCACCTGATGTGCGTGGTACCTGTGATGCAGAAGTGGTTCAACCAACTTGCCAATTCTGTGGCCAGGGGTAGCTTAGAGTGTGGAAAAATATGTCAACCTAACCTGGCCTTTAGGTGGAACTCAGAATAAACACCACAGCTAATCCCAATGAATGTCTCATTCTGGTTGATGACGTTCTTCCCCTCTGAATTTCCCCTGCAGTTTCACTTGAGTGGAGTACATGTTCGTGTCCTATGATTCATGCTGTGGGACTGTGCGCCGTCAGGCAGTTGCTGTGCTCTCTTTCGGAGATACCTGCCCTTTAGTTGTGGATGAAGGATTCTGCTTGCAGAGGCAGTGGAATGCTCTATGATCTTTGGACCAAAGGTATTATTTAAATAATTGATGTTGTTTAATTGTTATTAAAGGAGCTGTTTCTGGATGTTAGAGCAAAATGATCCCTGAATCATAAAGTCATAGTTCTCCTGAAGATCTTAGATATAATAAAAGGATGTTACTGAAAGAGGGGATATTGGGAAGGAATACAAAATGCATTCAGAAATAAAAGATTAGGGAGACAGAGGGTTGGGGTTTTTTTTAACATAATAATAACATAATTAAATGACAAGCCCAGAATTTTTAAATGTAACTTGAAGCATTGTTCTAAATGAATGAGCAATAGAAAAAATTTAGCAATTTATCAAAACAGTGCCACTTTGTAGCTGGAGAAGCACAGGACAAACACAAGTTGCCTAGTAATGGTATGTTTTTAAAATGTATCCCTTGTTGGATATTTATGTGGTCGTATGACTTAGTATTCGGGTGGAAGGCATCCTAGAATTCTCTGACCTTGCCACGTTAAGGGAAGTTTCTTAAGTTGTGATTTCCTTTGATAACACTTGTTCAAATCAACCTGTGTTTACAACACAGGAGAAGGCTGGTAAACGCATTTTTAGCAGAATTTCATTTAGAAATCTCTAGGATAGCTTTCAGGTCAGTGGTGGAAAGTCTTAGTCACAGATGTCCTGTCTCCAGGAGGCTCACAGCACTGCTCATGGAGCTACTCAGTGTTGCAAAGGGGGGAAATTTTAGAAAAATTCCCTACGCTAGAAAAGTCAAAAGAGTAGGTTACTAGTTCAGTGGTCAGTTTTGTTTTGAGTTCATCGTGCAACATGGGGTGGAGAGTCTTCCCATAGAAGGTATGTACCTGATATAAGAAAATCAACTCATTACATGTAAGAACATGTAAGAAAGGAACATTTTGAAAGGAAATGAAGGGCAGTGAAGGAACTTAGGAGTCAAAGAGCACAGTGTCTTTCAAAAGACAATGACTACATCCAAAAATGAAAATAGGAAAAAAGAGACCAAATGAAACCCCAAGCAAGCATAACAAATACAAAGCTCTTGTTTACTCCCAAGACTTCCAGGCTTCACTGTGTGTATTGGGTTTTCATATGCTGGATTCACATGCTGGATTGGGAGGAACAAGAGTCAGAAAGCACAAGCCAATCTCAAAATAAGTCACACAGGGCTTTCTGGCTATTGCTCTCAAAAGTAAAGGGAGTGAAGTTGCCTCTTTTTCCCAAACATTGATCTTAGGGTTCTTCAGGCAGGAATCCACCTGTACTCAGCCAAATGAGAACTGCCTCATGACTTTCCTCAGACTGGTTTGGGCCAAACCAAAGCAGTCATGAATAGGACCAGTGAAGTGCATGTATTCATATGGTTTCTTCTCCTTTCAGTGATTGGACTGGAGATATAGTAAATAAAGGGTTGAGTGTGACTACTGACTGCATACTGACATAATTTCAATTAATATACTTCTCCATTTTTCATCTTTGACATCCACACATGATTTGTAATTGTGAGTCATGGGCACATCTCCAGGAATGGCTGACAAAGCCTCAAAAAACAAGACAGACACGCTACATAGCGATAGCCTTATTTAGCAAGGGAAAATGGTTACCTCCCTGTGGACTGACCTCACATAATTCTGGGTATCAGAGATAATTTTTAAGCCCTGGGTCTTCAAACCACTCCCATCTCATCAGTTATCACTCGCATCGTGACAAAAAGTGCCACTTCCACATCTGGATGCAGCCAGCATCTGAAGAGAAAAACCACACATCCATCCACAGACCCACAGTCCTCTGAAGTGGAGCAGAGTGCTTGTGCACTGGGCCTCGGTCACGAAGAGGGCAGTTTGGTCTGCACCATTGCCAGCAGTGGGACATACCCTGAAGCAAAGTCTATCTTTCCCCTCTTACCTAGTCCCCTTTGACTGCTAAACAATTCTGGGACATAACCAGACGTCCAATGGCCTGTAGATATAAAAGAGAATTGAGCGCAGAATTTGTATTTGAATATGCCAAAGAAATGGCGTAAGCAGCCAACACAGAGGCTGTGTAATTCTTCCTCTCAGTCTTCCAGACACTGGCTCCAAGGATTTGTATTTGCTGGTTAAAGGCATCTTGTAAAAAAGGGGAAGAGAAGCTGCTTGCAGCACTGAAGTTTTAGTGGCCCGATTCATGATTCAGCAACTCTCTCTAACGCAGCTAACGTGAGAAGCAGCTTGTCACACTCAGTGACCTCCCACTGCAGGGAATGTGGGTGTACACCCCTCTGCAGACTCATGGGATCCTTCGTCATGCAGCCATCCCCAGGAACACGCCTCCTCCTGGAAGACAGCAGCCAGGAAACCATGTTGAATCTTTGAGACTTCCCTCCTCACAGCTCCAAATCCAATCTGTAAAGAAAAACAAGGAGTGTTAGCTGGTATTTTGCCTATGTTTTATTTCTCTCTCTTACTCTTATTTTCAGTTCCGGTTTTGGTCTTTGCTGCTGTGAGACAGTCATTGCAAGACATGCCTAGCTATAGCAGTACACTCTCTCTACTTCATTTATGTTTCCAGTTGCTAAATTGTTTTAATTTCTCCTCTTACACACCTGCACTGGATCAAAAAAAATAGGGCTATCCTTTTTTTTTTCACTTGACTGGAAGCAAAAATTCTTATTCATAGGAGGGAAATATAACTGCTGAGGAGTTTCTGTAATTTTCAGTGACTTGGCACAGGCAATTTTATTTAGGCAATCAGTTGTGTGGTTTAACTCAGTGGGGCCCCACCTAGGAGGAAAACCCCTTGATAAAAGTTCAGTATGTAGTAGGGCAGCTGGAACAGAAAGAGAATTACATCTGTTTACAGCAATGGATTCTGCACAAGCCTTCCCTCCTGTTCTGCTACAACAGGTGGATCACAATTATCTATATCCTCTGAGTCATTTGGGCTTCTTCCTCTTCTTTCCTAAGAAAAAGCAGGATGAATCTGGTCTGGAAAAAATATTATTCACAGTTCCATACGTTATAGCACACACACACAAAAAGCATGTCAGTGGACTGAGAGGAATTCTGTATTTAACAGAAGAAGAGACTTTTGCTCCCAGAGACATGGGGCAAAGGTAAAGACCAAAGTGTATCAGCTTAAAATAAAACATGACAAAAAATGGGAAACCATGAGGAAGCTGTACTACCAGTCAGGACAGCAGACAGCAGTCTCACTGTTTTTCAGTAGTACGAGAACTGAAGAGTTTTTACATTTGCTCCAGCAAAAGAGGATTCTCTGGAGCTGTTTAAAGGAGGAGAGTGAAGGACCTTGGCAGGGATGATGTGGAGGCTTCTCCCAAATATATGGAAAGGGGGCATGGGAAAAACACAAAGCACTGCTAAAATGCAAACCAGCAACCACAGGCCAGTCAGATGCAGGTGCCGTTCTCTCACTGGGGCATGGGAATGACATTTGGGTCTTTACCAGCATTACGGGCCCTTACACCACATGAACCCAAGCAGCCACAGAAGTGTTTTGCTTATGAAATGAGTCATAGGGTTTTTTTTCTTTTTTTCTAAACAGATACCAGTTTTTCTTGACCACAAATTATGTGCTGTTTAGCCTCAAGTTTTTAAACCACATAGGATTTCTCTCAGTTATCTTTTACCGTCGTGAAGTACAGGTTCTTGTTACAAAACTGAAGGACACACACTTCATCACTTCTGGTATCTGACATCATCGCACCATCTCCCCCACCTCCTCCTTCTGTGTCACCCTCTCCTCCCCCTCTACTTTCAATTCCTTCATCTTCTTCCCCACACTGCCAAGGCCAGGCATGCTCCCCATTCCTCTTTCCTCTGCACCAGACGTTTTGGGTACTCATCCTGTCCTTTGCACCCTGGGGGCTCTGTGTTCCTCCCATGGCATACCCTGCCTGCAGTAATCTTGCGCCACATCGCCTTCTCTGTAAACCAGAGATCTGTCATGGCATGCATCTTGTTGCTAAGGGCTATGAAGCACACAGAAGTCCTTGCACCAGTCCACGGGAAAAGGTGAGATTAACTTTCTCAATAGGCTCTCTCTTGCTAAAACTTCTTGGTTTACCACTTCTTTGGGAGTACTGGAGAAGGTACTGGAGTGTTTTCAACCTCTAACATATTTCTTTAACTGTCCCTTCTTACAGCATCATGGAGGTCTGCATATTCTTCCTTTATGCTATGATACTTCTCCCAGGTAAAAGGTGCATTTTTAATTGTAAAAACTGTTTTGATCATTTGTGTCCTGCTATGTGATTCTTTCTCATCTACTAAGCAGCTCATTCCTTAGTAGTAATTAATCATTTCTGTTGCACAATCAAGATCATATAGTCTATGTGACATGTATTTAAATTGTGTGCAGGGACTCTATAAAATATATAGTAAGTACTTTCTCTCTTCAACTTTATATCTTTACATTACACTTATTTTATGTTGCTCTTAAATTTTCAATTTAAATCTATCTTTAAAATGTGTGTATATTACTTCTGTATATCATGGAGAGCAGTATTAAACTGAAAACTGGCAGTTTGATATGGGACAACTGGAGTTTTAGGCAGCTGCAGAGATCATTTTGCAGTCTGGTGCTCTGGAGGAGCAGTCAAAACTTTACACCAGGAGAGAGACTGTAAATCTTCTCCTCCTTTTGAACACAGCGGAGGTGTTTGTATCTTTGGGGACAGAGGACTGCATTTCTCATTCCAAGAAGAGCCTGTCCTCCCAGCCCATTGCCACCCATAATGATAGGTACACGCACTGATGAAAGTGGGAGAAAAATCATCCCTTGTGTAATATAGTTTCATGCTTTCTTTGCATGAAGGCATAATTGTGTTTATTGACTATTTCTGCTAACAAGATCAGCAACAGAACAGTTAAATCTGACATTTAATCTGTCATTAAACTCTAGATTAATTACAGAGAGTTAAATCTGACATTTAATTTGTCATTAAACTTTAAATTAATTCTTCAGTGAGACTGAAAGTATTCACCTGTTTCTGACCTTCTGGTCACATATTCCCTAGACACCAACATTTACCACACAGTGTGCACTTTACATTTTCTTCAAAACTGCAATGCTGTGTTATTTTGTTAGGAGAATGAACTCAACTTTTTAAAAATAAATTGTGCAATTAACTCCTTTGTGGCAGAATCTCATTACACTCAGGATACTACATACAAAATGGTTTGGACCTTTTGCCTGCATGTAAGTTTTCTAAGATATAGACACTCACAACTTCTGTGTGGTAGGCCTTCCTTGGAAAATAAAATATAGGAAGAAAAATAAGAAGCAGTTTTATGACAAGACTAAGTGAGTCAGTTTGAAGAAATATGTGTCCTTTGATACTTAGTGGGAGAAACTGTGTCTAAATGCTGGTGTTTTCATTGCTATTGTTGTTAAGTGTTGCCTCTATGAGTGCAAATACTTGGTGTTCTTTTGTAGCTGATGGAAATCTTAATTTCTTCTCTCTCTTTGTCTAAGGTATTGCTGCCAGTGTGCATCAGGTGAAGTCATTTCTCAATCACACTGCATACCTATCCTGCTATTTTCCAAACTCTCAGAAAACTGACATAAAGGATTTAAGAGTTTTTTGGCAAAAAGGCGCTGTTGAAGTGGTGCACGAAGTATACTACGGCCAAGAAATACATGACAACCTTAGTCCTAAATACATAAATCGCACAAAGATGGATATGGACAAATGGACCTTGCAATTGTTAAATGCAGGAATTGTGGATGAGGGACAGTATACATGTATTATACAGCACAGAGATAAAGGATCGCCAAAGGTCATACACACATCTGAGTGCTTACTGCACATCATTGGTAAGTAATCTTTTCTAATTGTCATCCGGTCCAGGAGTTTTTTGGGGGTTCTCTGTCCCTTTGTTCAGTCCAGAAATGTGTGGTACTGTCTCCAAGCTGCTGAAGGTGTACCTGCACTGGAGCAGAATTTCTGAAAATGGATAACAGCATTCTCAATAGAAAATCCTCAGCTCTGAATAAAAAGTACCCAGGTGGAAGCAATCAGGAGTAGAAAATGAGGCAATAATTTGCTCAATATCACATCATTCCTGATTCCCACCATCATACTTTACAGTGAAAACCATTCTGCTTCTTCCCCTTGCCTCCTGCAAGTTTTATGGCTTTTAGGACTCTGGAAAATATACTTTATTTGCATCTGATGCACTACCTTCTATTAAAAGTAGCAGTAGTTATCATTGTTGGTGGTAAATTACAATTGAAACATAACAGTATTTCTGCAAACACACAGCTATTTTATGATCATATAAATCACAGGGAAAATAAAGAAAAGAGCAGCTCATATGTGGAGGAGTAGAAATTCATATGTTCAGTTAAAGGAAGACTGAAAATATCTCTGAAGTAAAAATGCATGCATTGATGAGATTCAACCTGATTTCTTGCATGGGAATGGAAGTGAGGAAGCAATCTTTTCCTAATGTTTTCTAATATTTTTAGTAATTCCTAATATATTTTCGTAATGTTTTTCTATTTTAAACTGTTCTGTTAGTAACCTTTGTCCACATGCCTGTGTTCTCTCTTTGACTAGGATAGTGCTAATCATTCGTAATAACAGCTTCTAACTTCCACTGGTGTTTTCAGGCTTCAACATACTGCTTCAAAAGAGAACAGGCCATGTGTAACAGCAGTCAAAAATGGAGTACCAGGACATCTGAGCCTATTTAGCTTTGTGCTACCAGCAAGTGTTCCCTTGATCCACAGATAGAAAACCTAAATTGTTAATATTGATTCTCCTAGAATCTACTTGACAAGTATTTGCAGCAAAGTTTTAGAACTCAGTATCAAGGCCTTCAATTTAAGAGATGCTTAGCATCAACCATTCAGTTAATTCAAGCAGTTAAATAAGTTATCAGCTTAGACAACATCTGAGCAACATGTTATAGAAGTCTCATACTTTGGCACTAAAACTCTCCCAGACCTTTTAAGGTTTAACTTAGGAACACTGCTTTAAACTATTTGCTTCTGTATTCCTTTCAAATGACTCTCTGCTCAATAAGCTCCCAAAGGAAGGAGCAGTATAAAATCATATTTTAAAAAACCACAACAACTTAAAAATAATTAGAAGAAAAACATGAATGTTTAAATGTACTTGTGCTTATCTACCGTTTCTTAATTAGAATCTCTTCTCATACCTGGAAGGTTTTTGGTAGTATGGCATGTGACACTTAAAATGGACTTAAGAAAGATTGAGTGCTGTACAAGGGCAGTCGTACAAAGCTATCTAGATCACTTGGTGACCAAGCCCATTCAAAAAATACTGAAGTACCTTCTAATACAGTTTACATGTGTTATTTATATGTATTACATTAGGAAAATAGATAGATGTATATTATACATATTATGTGCAGTGAGGATGATTTATATAACAATGAACACATCATTCTACAGTAAGAAGGGAGGGCTTCATCATGGAAAGCTTTGGCTTAAAACAGGGAAGGTAGGGACCATGGTGACAAGCAGCTTAACTGGAAATTCTGCTGCTATAGCATGGTTCTAGTGCTTCCTTTGGATGGATGAATAAGGGAAGTAGGTGAGACTAAGGAAACTACTTCAAAATATGCACTATTCAAAGAGTTGGGAGTGAAACTGATGTTGGAATAGAGACTTTACAGTTTGTGTCCTCATTTAAAAGGGGATGTTGAAAAACTTAAAAGCATGAAGAAGAGCTCTACTAGCATTATCTGAAGGCTGGAAAAAATACAGTCCAACTGGAGACATTAAAAGATTGATCTGATTACCTTGCAACGCAGAAGACCGAGAAGAGTCTTGTTTTCAGAGTGTGGAAACCTGAAATACTTAGAAAATAGTGGATATTAAAAAAAAAAAAAAAAAGGCTAATTAATTCAGTGAAGATATAAAAACAGTGGCTATAAGCAAGTAAGAAATAAGGTACATTGTCATTTTAGAAAACAGAACAAAACTAGGTAGGGTGATTAAGCCATTGAGAAAAATATTAAGGTTTTGATGGATCTGCTCTCTCTCAAGGTGTTTAAATCTAAGCCCATAGCCTTTTTGGACAATGTGCTATTTTTAAATACAAAAGAGTTCCTGAAATATGCTTTTCTGTCAACAATCCAAAGCTCACACATACATAGCCCACACCCTGCATGCAACCAACATCACTTTTCAGTAAATCGAGGTTCTGTAAGCCATAAAACCATAAGTGCTTTGATCAGGATATATTCTACTATTTCCATACTGTCTTTAGTCCTATTGGCACTAAAATAATGAAGTATTTTCAATGAAGTCTTGAGTCTGTTTCTTGGGTTTTGTTGTTCTTTTTTTAACTTGCTGTATGCCAACATACAGTCAGTATTATGTCTACATTTTCTCCTTCTCCTTTTCCATTATAGTCTACTATTTCTACTATGAGCTTTTAACCAAACAAATCCTGGTTGAGAATATTTGGGAGATTATTTAATAGAGAGTATTGGTTAAAAGCTTCCATTTATCATTCATATTTTATGTTTAAATAATTATTTCCAATCCTGTTTCACTAACTATTTCTTGCCTGGGAAACTTGACTTTTTAAAGCAACAGGTATGTTTTTCATTGGCTGGGACAAGTTTCCAATGACACAAAGTAAAAGAACTTGTATTGTAGTCACTTCCTAATAAAAAGCCGAGTTAAGGGAGACCTACTATCAAGTTATTAATCAAGAATTATTAAGAATTAATTTATATGCTGCAAAATGATTATTCATAATACTGACAGAGATCAAGGATATTTTTACCTATGACAGCACTGGACCTCCAACTTAGCCCATCTGAAGTCCCCCAGATGATTTCTTTCTCTACATTTCACAGTCAGAAGTTTGTAGTTTTCCCCTTACCTAATCAGAAGGTCAAGAGTAGGCAGCACTGTGTCCCATTCCTGGTTTGTGCTTAAGCACTGACCTGCAAGCAGGCCAGGTTTGATTATTCTGAGGTGTTAATGGATCTAAAGGAGGTGGCAGAGGCAGAGGCCCATTGTCTGGCTGATCAGACTTAAGTCCTTGAAACACCCTGAGGACAAGGAGCAGCAAGTCTGCATGTATACCAAAACCATAACAAAACCTTCTTGGGATTCCCACTGTTTTCCTGAGAAAATTGTTTAGACTTGCTTCTGCCTGAAAAATTTCAAATAATTGGCAGGAACTGTCACGAGATGTGGTATGTCTGACTCATGATGCTTTCTCTTTGGTCTATTTCAGCCAACTATAGTCAACCTGAGATAGCGTGGCTGCACACTGGGGAACTAAAGCCCAACGAATACTTGAATCTTTCCTGTTCTTCCAGCGGCGGTTATCCAGAGCCCAAGCACATGACTTGGCTAGTTTCACGCGAAAACAAAACAGACAGGCTTATGGGTCCTATGGATGTCTCACAGGATGCTGTAACAATGCTATACAATGTTACTGGCAGGCTGAATATCACAGTTCCTACAAACACCCTCACTAACATTAGCTGCTTGCTTCACCTTGGAGAGCAGCTGGGGAGCCTTCTCTCAGTGCCACTAGGCATAGGTGAGTCTCCTTTTGCCCATTCTGATTTTTGCATGGGTAGGAGCAGGGCACATTGCAGTAGAGCTAGTCACAGATAGCAGCATAGTCAAGACAGGGAAGAAACCCTAAGTAGCAGTAGGAGTTGGTTACAAGGTTTGTATGTTCTCCATCTTGTTCGCCAACAGCCACATCCACCAAATTCCCTCTCCTTTCCATCTGGAAGTCTTACTATAGCAAGGAGACGTCACAGAGAAGGAGGGCTACTGCTGCACAATCCAGAACACAGCCTTGCTAATCCCCTTCCTAGATGCTGCAGTAGCAACAAAGCAACCTGGATGTCTGGATTAGGCAGCAACCAGTCTCTGGAGGTAACATTTAGCTGTTAAGAGAGGTTGCCCCTTCACAGACTCAGAGAACTGTTAAGATTGGAAGAGGCATCTGGAGATCATCTAGTTCAACCACTCTGCTCAAAGCAGGGTCAACAGGTAGCACAGGGCTTTACCCAGTTGAGTTTTAAATATCTCCCAGGATAGAGACTCCCCAGCCTCTCTCAGCAAACTGTTCCAGTGTTTGACCACCCTGACAGTAAAAAAGTTTTTTTCTGATGTTTAGGTGCTTGAGCTGCTATTTTAATCATTCCCAAGAGAGAGGCAGAAGAACAGCAGAGTCCCTTGGATCAGATTTGGCTCACAAACTGCCAAATAGACGGTGCTGAGTTTAAGTGTAAAGGCCATGAAACTTTGACTAGTCTTAGAAGCATTCCTGGTGGTTTTCATGACATTCGGCAGAATCAAGTGCACATTCCAGAATGACTATTTGGGGATTTTATTTTTTTTTTCCGCTGGGATTGTATCTTTTTTCAGACCCCTCTTGGAAGAAGAAGCTGGGGACCCAAGTTCCAATAAGACTTTACTGCTGGATTATCTCAGGGTTCCACTTGACTGATCCTTGCTTTAAATTAAAGCTGTATTTTATTTATCTCCTGGAACAGGAAAACATCCTTTGACATATTTTTGTTTGTAAACTATGGCACAAGCATCAAAATAAAGACAATCCCCACGTGGCTTGCACATGTCTCCTTTAGACAATGTTGAAGGTGGAGAGCTGTGCTTCAACTGACAGGAACAGGGAGCCAAGAGGGAATGGTAGCATTGCAGGAAAGCCTGTCAGGGTAGTACAGGCATGCACCACTACTGCAGATGTAATAGAAGTTTGCTACTCATTCTGAAAAAAGTTCCACAGTGCACTTTTCTCCATAGAAATTTAGCTGAAAGGTTAAGTCATCAATGCTAGACTCTGAGGTCTTTACATTCTAGGATTTTTAAATAATATTAAAATACAATACAGAAGTCTTCTGAGATTTGCACAGCTCTACATGTTGCTCATGGTGTTAATATGGCTATACTAGCTATAGTGCTGCATCTTCCTCTTTCCTATACAATTCTTCTTCTAGCCTCCCTGGCTTTATGAAAGTAGCCACCTGATAAGCAGTGATGGTGGGTAAGAAACTAGGAACTCCACATAAACAAAAGCTTTGTTTGGCAATAACTGAAGCTCTATCAGTTGCTAACCCTAGCAACCAAAACCTCAAAAGCACAATAATCGGAAATAGAGGGAAACTCGTTTGCATTCCCTGCTACTTTCACATCATTAGGCTTTGACCATCATTTCCAACAGATACCAAGTGATAACATAACCCAGGTTCTTCAAACTTGCACAGTAGCACAGAATAACAGTAGCACAGTAGCAGCCTCGTAGACTCTTATATTAATCAAGTTGCTGATCTCTTACATGTTACCCAAACTTCAGAAAGAGTACTTTGCCTTACTGTTGTTGAAGCAGCCATTAAGACTTGGTAGTTGTGCTAGTTATTGGAAATGGCAACAAAGCAATATGTGGATTTATTGACACTATTAAAGCACTATAAAAGCAAAGGATGCTGAGGGCCTTTCCTTAAACTTCCAATTCACATAACTTTGGGATAGATTGTTTAAGCTAACTGTCACCAAATTAAATCATTGCTGTGTGTATCATCTCCTCTGTTTTCTTATTCAGAGATACCAGAGGAAAAAATGGAGCAAGTGAAGATAAATTTCTTTGGCCCACTTATAGCTGTGATTATACTGATCACACTTCTTCTGGGTTTTGTGATATTGAAGAAGAACAGAAACAGTTCATCTACCAACCAGAGTAAGTTATTACTTCTCATGTGGCTCTGCTGTCCCTCAAGTCTCAGGCTTTTCTCTTTGTAATCATCCCTTTACCTACATTCAAGCTGCTGACAGAATGTTAGGTTTCATGGACTTAAGCTAAACTTCCTTGGACAATTTAGTTCCTGCAAGAACTTAGTTAATCCAGCAGTAAGACAAAATATCTTTGTCCTGTCTTGTCCTGGCATCCACTTCTCCCTCTTCTTTGTGCTCTGTGAGACTGCCATGGCACCAGCTTACCACTTTTTCCTGCAGTTTCATCTTTTTTTTTTTTTTCTGTCCATCACCATTTATAAGAAAGGTGGAGGACAGATGAGATGAGATGAGATGAGATGAGATGAGATGAGATGAGATGAGATGAGGCTTCCGTCAAGTGCAAATATCTCTGTCACCACAGAGCTGAAGGATCCAAGGCATTGACCCACCACAGGCTGCCCAACACTGGACTGAAAGAATCACCTTGTACTAGGAACAGAATTCAATCTTTGCATTGCATTTCTCTATTTTGTTCCAAGACTAGGTCTCATCAGTCCAGGGTTTATTCTGCACTGAAAGGATTCTCATGCTGACATTAGAATCTATCCTTCCTTATAGCAAGAGGGAAATGCATTCTTCACAGTCAGTCCTGTTACCTTACACAGCCAAGGGTCCTGAGCCCCTCCTCATTCTTTCTCCAAACCCTAAGATAACTGGACATTTACTATCAACTCTTTTCCAGCTCCTATATCTCACGTTTCTGTAAACCACATATTTATCTATTTTAGGTGTCAGTCTAGCAGTCTAGAAGCTATCCAGCTTGAAATCAAGGCCATCAGCCAGACTGCTGACTGGAAACCATCTCTACACATAGCAAGGCCTGAGGTCCCATATTCTTAGATGCTCAGCCAGAACAAGAATCCTCCCCAGGTACCCTGCATAACAACATGCAACATTTTGGTCTGATGGCTGAAATCCACTGTCCAGTGTTCCCTGCTTTTATTTTTGCTCCAGAATGGTAGTAAATACGGTGCTCTGCCTGTCTGCGTGACTATCTTTTTGCTGTATCTTTCATTACACACTGTGACATTGTAAAATCCTGAGAGTCAATGAAGAAATCAGAGCTGTGTGGGTTTACAGAAGGGAATGTCTCAGAAACAGAAAGAATTAGGCCACAATCTGTGAATCATAACCATCACTAGAAACATGATCGGAGGCAGGCAATTAATCATGAGCCATAAATGCTTTTGGCAGAGCCAGCGTGGCTTTGTACCAGTAACTTGTAAAGCTTTACAGCACAAAGAGGAACTTCAGGGCGCTTCCCCACCTTCTGAGAAAAGCTGTGCAATTCCTATCAGGCATTTGAAACTAGAAATCACCTGAAGGAAAGACTTGCTTTAAATATAATTTCTGGTTATCTTTTTTTTTTTTACTACCACCCAAGCTTAATATGCCCAGACAGTTAGTACCTCCACACTTTGATCCTGTGTATTCCGACCGCATGCTGTACTAGTTGTTCAGGTGGATGTAGGGATAGAAAATGAAAGCAGGAGGTATCACTCATATGTCTATACATCTAAATATACAAAATTAAGCTAAGCAGATAATGAAAAAATATTATGTAAGTAGGTCATGTTTTAATTTGGTTGACTACATACTCCCTTTCTTAATGTTGCTTCAGACCTTGAAGATAGAGCAATACGTATGCTGTGGTACGCTCAGCTATAGGTATTAGTTTTACCTTTCAGAAAAGATTCTCCATGTCACTCAACATGTGCCAGTTCTCCAATCTTGAATGATCTCTGCACTTTATATTCTTCAACAGCACTGACATCTTTCAGGAGGAAGAATGCAGCAGAATTGTGACAAAATTCTGAAGTCTTGATTGTGTTTGTAGGTCTGACATTTTCAGCAAGAGCAGGGACATTAGCATCACGTTCTCAAGATGAAGTTCAGCTCAGAGTTGCAGTTTGGGGACAGAAATTCTCTATGGTTTCTGCTGGGGACAAATATTCTGTTCTGTTAAATGATGTTGTGAGTTGCTAGATTCCACCTCAATCTTTACTCCATTTTCAAGTGTGTGAGAGAATGTGCTTGTCCTTTTGAGTTAGCTAAACCATTTGGGAGTCAATTTATTAAGCTATTACACTAACATTCCAAATATTTTCATTCAGATTAATATCATTCAGATTTTCTTAAAAGTTAAAGGGTTTATTTTTATGTAAATGTTTATATTTGCTAGCAAACTTATTTAATGACTTATTAAATATATGTCTTTTTCTGTGTTGGTGTTTTATTCTCCTGCCATTAATATTCCCCAGTATATGGGGGAATATCCACATTTGGTGCTGTTGGGGAGGAAATGCTTCCAGAATTATTTCTTGGAAGCAAATGAATAAAAAAGGTATTGCTGCAATGACCAAGAATAGCACAACTGAAGGTTTCATGTATTCATTCATGGAGCTGGATATATGCGTACAACTCTGCATCTGCATACCTCCTTGATTTATTGACCTACACATCTCAAAAATTAGATACAAAATTCCAGTCTGAAAATTTGGCCTTTCAATTCTCTGCTGGAGGGTGTCAAATATATCTCCAGTAGGTCACACAGTCTTCTCTAACTCTTGATTGACATTTGGTTCCTTACATAAAGCATGTGTTAAACTATCAGGTACACTAAATCAGGTAGATACTCACTGGATTTGTGTTGTTTCTCTTGCTTTTTTTAATACATGCTGTAACTAAGTTCATTTTTTTTTCCAACATTTTCCCTTCCCATTCAAGTCATCCACCTCAAAACCTCACTAACAATGACCTCATCAGAACAACAGCTAAATCCTACTTTGCTCTTACCCAAACAACAAGCCATGTGGGTCTTTTGTCTTCCATATGACTAGATTCACGCACATATACATACAGCCTTGAACTCTCAGTCTCAGAACTCTCTTACTAATCCCTGAATCCTGATGTGCTGCTTATCTGGTCAGCTTTATACACTGAGGAAAAAAACCATCACCAAATTTTCATGTTTGTCCATAGGAGAAAAACAGTAACCAGTTCCTCCACAATGGATAAGGTATCTGGAAATCTATGCTAGGACTCAAGAGTCCTTTTCTAGCACATTCACTTAGCACAAAACAAAAATTCCTAGCACTTGGAAATTCATATTTTTGCAATATGTCTTAGTACCTCTGAGGGGCTTTTCACCCTGATACACTGTCTACTATCACTATCAACAGGGGTAACTAGTGGAAAAAGTCACATGGTGGGTTCAGTTTATCTTTTCACAACTCCATTTCATTCTTAATTTGTTCCTAATTGGTGAAGTTGTTTGTTTTCCCCTCCTTGCCATCCCTCTAGGTTAGGCTGCCAACCTCCTTCTATTACCTGATCAATTTCTCTACCTCCTCTTCTTGCTCTTAAAATCAACTCTAATTCCCTCCTGCATCTAAAGACAGTTAAGAGGAAAAAAGCAGATGGGCTTCAGGGAAAATCTTAGTTTGTCTCTATCTGTTCAAATGCATTAATCAGTGCTAGCAGATGTAATCACAGTAGCAAGGCACAAGAAAAATGTAGCTAGCATTTTTGTCCTCCATACAAATACATTCAGATTGCCAGGCTATCTCCTCATCTACTTTGTAGTTTTCTCTTTGACAGCATGCTTTCAGTCATTCAGTGACTCTACAAACATGGCAAGCAAACAAATGAGCATATGCCCACTACATACCACAGCATATAACGGCTTCACTTAAAAACACCATTCCTTTATTTTCAGGCATAACGTGAATTTCAGAAAATGCTAACAAAGAAATGGAAACGGTGTGTGAAACCAATATCCAGTGCCCTAAAGTAAAATTCTGTCATCAGACTTACAGTTGTGAATAGATTGCTTCAGGTTCACTGATTAACCGTCACTGAATCACAGAATAGTTGAGGTTAGAATGGACCTAGGGAGATTGTCCAGTTCAATCCCCCCTGCTTAAGCAGGGTCACCTGAAGCAAGGAGCCCAGGTCCATGTCTAAACTGCTTCTGAATATCTCTTAGGAAGGAGACTCCATGACCTCTCTGGGCAGCCTGTTCCAGGGCTCGGTCACCCTTCACAGTATGAAAGAGTTTCCTTGTGTTCAGAGGGAACCTCCTGGGTTTCAGTTTGTGCCCATTGCCTCTGGTCCTGTCACTGGACATCACTGAAGAGAGCCTGACTCAGTCTCTTTCACACCCTCCCTTCAGGCAGTTACACACATTGATGAGATCTCCCTGAGGCTTCTCTTCTTTAGGCTGAACAGTTTCAACTCACTCAGCCTTTCCTCAGATGAGAGATGCTCCAGTCCCTTCATCATCTTTGTGGCCCTTCACTGGACTCTCTCCAGTATGTTGATGTCTCTCTTGTTCTGGGGAGCCCAGAACTGGACACAGGACTCCAGGTGTGGCCTCACCAGGAAGGATCACCTCCCTCAGCCTGCTGGCAATGCTTTCCCTGATGCAGGCCAGATACTGTTGGCCGCCTTTGCCACGAGGGCGCACTGCTGCATCATCTTCAATTTGTCCACTAGGCCATCCATGTCCTTATCTGCAAAGCTGCTTTCCAGATGGTTTGCCCCAGCCTGTATTGGTGCATGGGGTAATTCCTCCCAAGGTACAGGACTTTCAATTTCCCTTTTTTGAGGTTCCTCTCTGCCAATTTCTCCAGCTTTTTGAGATCCCTCTGGATGGCAGCACAATCCTCTGGTGTGCCACTCCTCACAGGTTTTTATCATCTTCAAACTTGCTGAGGGTACACTCGCTCCCATCATCCAAGTCATTAGTGAAAAGGAAAGTCAGTTAGTTTTACTGCAGATTTCATAACATCAGCCAGTGCTACTGCAACAAGCAATACCTTCCTACAGTTAACAGGTGAGGGGACAGTGAAGTGTTGCACCAGAATATTCCACAGTCACTGCTGAGGAGTGAAAACTAGATTGCAGATGTAAGCCTTTATAGAAATTCAGTTAGACTATAAGCACTAGGAAGTTTTTTTTTAATTGGGTCAGTGGTTAAGACCTTCAATATTATGTACACACCCAGAGCAGAAAATGTATAAAAACAACTGCAGTACAGGAACAGAGTAGGTTTTATCAAGCAAAATACTAACCTGCTCTTATCAGAGTGTTTACTCTGATACATCAAAACCCAGTTTCCCCCTAAAGTAATGCAAAGCAGCTGTTCAATCCCAGAAACCAGCGTTAGGAACCATGGCACATATGTATCTTCTTCCATCAGTTTTCACCACTCCTTAGCTTCCTCCCATTGGCAAAAAGTGAGCAGAAAACTGGATTTAAGGTATCACATCCCGGACATTTATCTGCAGGGGAATTTTGGGAGGCTCACCGTAAATAACCTCTCTAAATCCAACACAAACACCCGAAGCAGCAGCACACCACTGAGGAAAAATGCAGTCGTGTCTTACAATGACGGTCCCTAGTCAGGCCACAGGGCTTGGCTCCCGAGCAAACCTGTGGGTCTCCTCCCACCCAACAAGCCTCCCTGAAGCAGGGAGCCCCTCCAGATGACCCGACCTACGACCTTTATTTCAGGGAAAGACCGCCTGCGCTCACCGGTTGCACTGACACCTTAAAAAAGGAAAAAAAAGGGAAAAAAGAAGGGACGGGCGGTCGTGAGAGCCTGGTAGCCCCTCACG